CTGTCGTAATTCCTAACATTTTTTAGATAATAGTAATATAGTTTTGGGTACCAGCCATCTAGAAGATTCTGGACGAGAAATAGTCCTATAAGCAAGATTATGCAAGGAATTAGTCCTGCAAAATGGCACAATCAGCTAGAGCCCTCCACAGCTATTGTTACAGCTAGCTTCGAGTTCAAAGAGGTTAGAGTGAGATAAAACGGTTAACATAAAACTCATATCTTACTAAATTTAAGAACATTGCATTAGAATTTTGATGAATTAGATGAGTAATACATGCAAAATCACATTATTTTCATCAAAGTCTCAATCCCAAGACCACAGGTTTGTTTAGCTCAATAAGAAAGTACATTCCAGCTTTTCCTAATCCAACAAAGAGAGTAATAACAAATTTAAATCATAGGCAGGTAATTTATACAAATTCAATAATCCCAACAACACAAATACCAAAATGACCTCTTACAAGGCCTGAACTCGATTGAGTTTGCTCCAAATCTTGCTTCTCCTCAGCGCACACCACAAGCACAAATTCACTTCTGTCTAGCACAACTCTTTTCTTCTTCTAACACATGAAAAAATGGGAATGAAGTCACGAGGAATTCAGAGGAAGGGTCATTGTACAAGCAACAGTTGTGTTAAATGTTAAACCAAGTCATCAAAAAGAAATGTACCTAAACCAGAACCCTTCCTGCTCTCCAGTGACACCACTCTTTTTTCCACACTAATTACTCTGATCCTTAAGCCTCTAAATTACTATGCCATAACAAAGATCAACTAATCACTACTGGCCTTGTTCAAGACTTGACTAGACCGGCTAGCTTCCACAACGTCAACATCGCTTCCTTCTCCAAGAACAGTATCCCATCAATCCCCTGTTCATAGACCACATTTACCGAACTGTTAAAAGATAGTATAACCATTCTTACCACTTGTAGCTACAAAGCAAAAATACACACCAACATGGCTTGAATCGACGAGTCTCAGTGGGAAACGTCGCATGCAATGGCTTAAAACTGAAGTTTCAAATCCTTCTCGACTCTGCCTCCTTCGTGCTAGAAGCCGATTGCGCAACCACAAGAGATAAAGAGATTCACCAACCTAAATCAAATACAGAGAAACAAAGCAAGAAATCAAACAGACTAGTTCTTACCATCAAATGAGAATATATGAATGCGGAACAGTGAGATGCAAAACGACGGCCGAACCAGGATTCCACAAAGCCAGAGCTCCATGCGGAGTAAGAGATTTGATCGGAGATTGTGAGTTCATCTGAATAGCAGGGTACCCAAGGATGGCGTCGAACTAGGTCAGAGAAAGAGGGGCAAACCGACAAACACCATATATTTTTTCAGAGATTGGGGGTATCGTCTAGGGGTGGGCATTGGTGCGGTCCAAACCGCTCCGCCCGCTCCAAATCGCTTATGCGGTCAATCCAAACCGCACCATTAAGATTGCGGTTTAATTTGCGGTCTAATCCTAAGCGGTTCGCGGTTTTGTGGTACGGGTCGACCGAAACTGCGCGGTTGCGGTTCAAAACCGCAAACCACTAAATCCCTACCCAGCTCAGCGAGGGATTCACCACAAGAGCAAGCCTTGCGGCGGCGCCATCGACTACCTACCCGACGATTCCTCCATCCCGACGATTCCTCCATCCCGACTACCTACCCGACGGCGTCGATCTATCCGTGCCTCTCGACGACGTCGCGCACCACTAAGAGGCGATAGCTCCAGCGTCGACGCCGACGATTCCTCCATCCCGACTCCCGACCTGCTCTTGCGAGGGTACTCCCGACATCCCGACTCCAGCGCCGACGATTCCTCTGGTACTCTCTTTCTCCCTCCTCTTTTCCTTAATAGCTCAGTACGGGACGGAGCAGTGTTGTGTTAGATACGAGAAGGAAAAGTTTTGTTGAACTTAATTAGCTAAGAAATGCTGTTGTGTATATTGTCGATCCGAGTTAAGGTCAAGAGTGCATTTGGATATCACCGTATATATATTAATTCAGTTATAAGGCTGTTATTCGGATGAATTGGAATTCCGGCACAGAATGAAGCACTTATGTGCAAGATACGTATGTGTCTATGTTTCAAGGTATCTTAATGCCAGGGTTTGAAATGAGAGAAGAGGCAGTTTTTGTAGGTTGGCTAATCAATATATACTAGAATTCCTACGCTGGGTTTTCACGCCCAATTAGTTTATAAAGCTAGCCCGCTTTACTCAGAACACATATTAGCTAGCTAACCACAACACAGAGAGACAGACAGACATAGAAAGAGATGGGCGTGCAGGTTGATGGATCTTCTTCCAATTCTCAGAGATCCATCAACATTAGCTGCTGCTATCTGGAAGCGAGGCTTGGAGGGGAACACGAAAACAGTAGATGCAGCGACCGAGGGCTGAAATGCAGCTGAATATCTAACTGAAGTCACAGTGACCCAAAGCAGTTGTCGTCTTCCTGAAGTTATGGTTTTTAATTATAGTTTGTAGTTTTGCTGGAGGATTCGGCCTTGTTTTAGCTACCATTTAGAGCTCAAGTTTATGGTGTTGGAACTTTGGAATGGTAATGGACCTGTTATCAGATCTACTTTAGTGGGTCTGCAAAAAAAAAAATTATGCTCTGTTTTTGGAATGCTCTGTTTTCTGTTTTGAGAATAAGATGGACCCAAAGCAGTTGTCGTCTGTGTTCTGCAGCCTTATGCTTGAAGTTAGAGGATTTATACATGCTTTAATTAGTGTAATTTGAGAACCAAGTGTCTTCATGCCAGTTACTTTTTATGAGATTGTACCAGTTCATATTTTTCCATTCCTCTGTTTGTAGTGTACTTTCCACCAATCTGTTTCTAGAATCTGCCCTTGTTTGTCTATGACCAAGTTGAAGTAGAGGACGAAAACAAGCAGAGAAATGGCACGCACGACGAAAACAAGCAGAGAAATGGCGCCCATGCCGAGCCGTCCAGCAATGTGATAGAAACATAGCCACCGATTGAAAACTTCCCCCGCGTAGATCCAAGTCACCGGCCCAACTCCAAAAGTGAACGACGACATGATCCCGGCTCTGTTTATGGAATGCTCTGTTTTCTGTTTTTTATTTGTTTCATTATGAATTGCGGTCAAATATGCGGTGCGGGCTAAACCGTACCAAACCGCTAACCTATGCGGTTTGGTTTGATCGCACCGATTATATTGCGGTCCAACATGCGGTGCGGTCCAATTAATATGCGGTACGGTGCGGTTTGTATCAAAGCGGTGCGGTGCGGTGCGAACCGCACCAATGCCCACCTATCGTCTGCGGTGGTGTTAGGGTTCGACTTGATGTAGCAGGGAGAAAAGAAATTGATTTTGGGAAGATAGAGGAATCAGGAAAACATTTTCAAAAAAAGGAATTGGCTTCGCAGCAGGTATAATAACCGCTGGTGGATTGGCTGCCAAAATTACGGATAACAAAAGCCCGGCAGCGGTTAAGGAAACTGTTGGGCCAACCATGGAGTCTCTTGGGCCGACAGGCCCATGACCTACAAAAAGCCCAGCGAAACAATCGAGCCCGGCCCCAATAGGCCCAGGGCACACTAATAAAAGGTTCGAAGGCGGTCTTCTCGAAAGAACCGCCTGACACGTCCCCAACGGAACTCTGAGAAACCGCCCGACACTGGGGCCTAACGTCCCTCTGACACCTCAGTACGGAGGCTGACAAAGGTACGATCCTGACAGCCTCCTGAGAACAGGTCCTTATGCGACCTTGGACGCCCGACAAGGCATTAATTATCCTCACTCCGACATCCTCTAGTATAAATACCCACTCATGGGACACATTTGGGGTAACTTCTATCTACTCCATTCTCTCTCTTATTCATTATATCCACTTCTCTCACTAACTTAGGCATCGGAGGAGGTCCCAGGGCTCCCCTGAGGACCTTTGTTGCAGGACTTCGAAGGTCGCCTCTCATCCTCCCAAGACCGCACGAAGACTGTGAAGCCTCGCAAACCGCCCGGAACATTCCAGGCATAAACATTTTGGCGCCCACCGTGGTGGTATGAGGTGCGCCTAGTGGGACAGGTTTACTGAAGGCAAGTCTTATTTTCAGCCTACCGGGAGGCGCTTCTTTTTTCAGCCTATCGGGAGGCCTGTCTTCTTTTAGCCTATCGGGAGGCGTTTCTTCCTTTCAGCCTATGAGAATGCGCTTCTTCCTGGTCTGTCGAGAGGCATTCTGTCTTTCAGCTTTCTGGGAGGCGTTTATCTCTTGACTTTGCGGGAAGCGCTTTGGGGTCTTTGAACAAACAGAGAGCTTAGCCTAGGAGGCATGAAATTTGATTAGTATGCGGTTCCACGTTCGAAGTGGCCATGGAAGACGCGGGTGATGACGCAGATGGGTATGATACACGCGACCAGACTTATCTTGTGTCGACGCACCGCCATGTGGGAGACGGGGGTCAGGTGGTGTCTTCGGATGCGTTTGCGCGGGCTTGCGTCTTAAGGCAGGACGGACGATTTGCACGGTTGGCGGACTCGAGTTGAGGACTTGGAGTGCGGGCCGGACAGAGGTGGGCCCATGTGATGCGGGACTGGACCCTTGGTGGGCCTAATGTACAGAGCGTGATGGACCGCATTGGAATCTTGGATGCGGTGCGTTGGTGATGCCGGGTTAGACGCACACATGAGATTTGATGCGAGGCGGCCCAAGTCTTCAGTGATAACGTTGAGTGGGCTCGGAGGTGCCATAGGCCGAATGGATGCTCGGGCGGCCCAGTTGGAGGGCTGGAGGTGTGTACGTGGTTGTAGTCTTCTAGTCGAGGGCGCTTCCTGCAAATGGCTTCAAATGTCGAATGTTGCCAATAGCAGATACAAAGCGGTTTTGTAGTGTAACGACATGATTGGACTTTCGTTTCAAGTGGAAACGTTTTCGCGATGATAATATCGCACGGAGGGGGAACGTAGCATGGTGGTGATGATCATCTTGTGCTTGGTTGGATGAGGGTTTGAGGCTTTGCGGAGGCGGTCCTCCTTTATTTTTGCAATGCGACAATTGAGAGCTTCATGGGTCGTGTATGGCGTGTTGCCAAGCTTCGCTCGTTGTAGGCCATGGTTGATTGTGGACTGGGATGCGGCCCATTATATGCTTGGACTACCGACTGGGATTGAGGTTGGAGCTCGACGCGAGGTTGCAGCTTGGACTTGGCAGACGGGTCTTGTGATAGGACTGGATGCGGATTGGGCCCGCACGGAGGTCTTGGCTCAGATGGTCTTGGAAGCTGAACGCTTTGTAGGTGACGGATTTGAGAGGTAGGCCGCCTTGAGACATAATGCGGGCTTAGCAGCTTTGGGAAGGCGCGCGGAATGGAATGGGCTTTGGAGGCAGCCTTTCGCGCAAGCTCGAGGCGTGAAGATGTCACTTCTGCTGGGAGGCGGTATCATGTTAGCTATACTGATGGCGCGTCCACGGGGAGGCGGTTTCAGGCTTTTGCGTGGAGGGATAGCATGCGTGAAATATGTCATAGCACGGGATGTAGATCATGTGATGCGGTTTTACATCTGCGAAGGATGTGAGTGACAAACATAAGCATAGCATGCGTGAAATATGTCATAGCATGGGATGTAGTGAGAAACATCATTGTGTGCTATTGCGAAGCGGTCTGCATGGCATAGTATTTGAATATATCTTAGAAGGAAGTACTTAGCTTGAGAATAAGCGGTAGAAGACAGCTGGGAAGCGGTTTAAGTAAGACGAGTCGCTTTCTGATCCTCAAGGCGGTCTTGTGGCAGACTGGTAATTGCCCCTGCCTATGAGAGTTGGGTTAGGTGTTTGAGTATGGTGCACGTGTTTCTCTTCTTCTTTTCGTAAGTAGATGCCTCCAGTCTTCTAGTGGCGTGATGGGCTTGCCTTTTGGACTTTCGGACGAAGGGGTCCGCGTGCGAGACGGATCGCGTTGATGAGGGAGGCGACCCATCGACGAGGGATAGGATCGCCTTGGAGAATCGGATGTGGAGCGAGGCGGTCCTGGTCTTGCATCCGCTCGGAGGTGGAGCGAGGCGGTCCCAGCCTTGGGCTCCTGGCATGTTGGAGACGAGCCGGCAGTTGGGCCGTGTTCGGTTCCTGCGCTGGATCTTGAAAAAATAGCTAAAAGGCGGCTGCCCCTAGTGACATGAGAAGATGTTGTCGCCAGCCAGTTGGCGTTCTTGTATCCTAATTAATGCGGGTTCGAATCTTGGCCAAGGAATTCCTTATTTTTTATTTCGTTGAGAATGAAGTCTGCTCAACTAAATGAGTAGCGCCTCGGACTCCACTGTGGGCTTCCTTCGCAAGGCGGGTCGTGGATGGATGTGAGCCTGGTAAGGCTGCTTAGAGGGCGGTCACCTCCGGTTTGAGGTGCGTCGACTTTGAATCCAGGGTTGGTCCTTGAGCCCAAGGGTTGTGAGATGTTTGTAAAGCAATGATGATTTACCGCTGCGTTTGTAAAGCAAAAGGTATCCTCGTAGTGTACTGGTTGTGTGAGCTCCTTTGTGGGGAGATGATGTGGGTTTGAAACCCACCTATGATGTTTTGCTCTCTGGGCGCTCCTTGAAGTGTCAAGGGTACCTCCGAGAATTTCTATCATCCCTTCCGGGAAGGAGGCATACCACGTCCGAAAATGACCGCTGAAGGTAACGGGAAACGCTCGGCACAAGACGGAGTCCGAGGCGTTGATGCACTGCACCTTTGACATGAACGCGCAAAGGTGGTCCGCGGGATCTGAGGTCCCATTGTACGCGGGTAGTCCGAGGGGGAGGAGTTTGGCGGTGATGGGGTCTTGAACAGCTCCTCGGAGAGCGGGTTTTTGAAGAACATTGGGACTCTTGTGCTTCCCGTAAGTCGACCGTAAATGTTTTTCAAGGATGCCTAGATCTGCACCTCTTCTCGCGTCCTTCCCCTCGACCCCTCAGGAGGGGTTTCCCTCGTTTTCGGTAGTTAGAGGATTTGCGACAGGCTGTCTTGCATGTTCGCGATTTGCAAGGCATGACCTTTGACTACCTCTCAAATCCGTCACCTACAAAGCGTTCAGCTTCCAAGACCATCTGAGCCAAGACCTCCGTGCGGGCCCAATCCGCATCCAGTCCTATCACAAGACCCGTCTGCCAAGTCCAAGCTGCAACCTCGCGTCGAGCTCCAACCTCAATCCCAGTCGGTAGTCCAAGCATATAATGGGCCGCATCCTGGTCCACAATCAACCATGGCCTACAACGAGCGAAGCTTGGCAACACGCCATACACGACCCATGAAGCTCTCAATTGTCGCATTGCAAAAATAAAGGAGGACCGCTGACGCAAAGCCTCAAACCCTCATCCAGCCAAGCACAAGATGATCATCACCACCATGCAAAATTCCCCCCATTAACGCTAGCACAATCACGCTCGCGAAAAGATAGGCTACTAAACACTGAAGTCGCTAAGTATGCGAGCGAAACATCCAAAAGTCGGAGATAACCCGCGGCACCAAACGGTGGCGGTTCAACGCCTCAAGTGTGCAAAAGAGAACGTTACAAGTTCACAAGGCACGTCAATGCCAAATTCGAAGTAGCATACAACCTCCATCACCACGATTAAGGGGCAAAACCTGCACAAAATAGAGGACACCCAGCAGTCCTCGAGTAGCAAATGTCACAAAGCAAAATGAAAAACATACACAAGGCATCTTAAACTTGAGGAGATGCGCCACCCTCAGGGGCGGTCTCTTCATCTTCTTCTCCTTCGTCTTTCTCCGAGTTGACATCGGAATCGGTCCACGCACCAACGGCGTCCCAAATCTGATCCGTGTTCCAAACCGCGTCAGGCTGCTCACGACGGAACCAGTGCCTGATGGCAGCCACCGCATTGCCCACCATGGACTTGTACTTCTCGTTGTCAAGCAACACGAACTCGTCTGACTTCAAGTAGGCGGGTCCCGCCTCAGCCCGGGCGGCGGCCAGTTCCGCCTCGCGGTTCTCTTCCCAAGTCGCCTTCTCAATCTTCAGGGCGGCCAGCTCTGTCCGCAGCGCCTCCTGTTCTTCCAGCAGGGTCTTCTCCAGCTCCGCAGACTTTAGGGCCTTCTCGCGGAAGCGGTCCCTCTCTTCACCGACAGCCTTGACCGCCTCCTTCTCGGCCAGCAACTCCTCCTTCTTCTTGGCCAGCCGCTCCTCAAACTCACGCTTCACCTGCGGTCTCAACTTACCCATCATAGTCTCCCGCCCTTCATCGACGCTTTTCTTCAGCTTCGCTATCTCAACGGCATTGTCCTCCACAGTCCGGGACAGACGGTCATTCAACAGAATGACCTGCGAGAACCCAATCTGAGCCTGTCAACGGCATACACATGATTAGCCAGCAAACAACAGATTGCGTGACGAAACATCCACAACGAATTACCACTTACCGAAAAGAAGAACCGCGAAGCGGTCTCTGCAAGTCTCCTGTGACTGTCCAAAGCTGAAGGGGTGTACTCGGAAGGCATAACGAGATGATCACTAATAGTGTGCAAAGCAAACTCAGCCGCCTCCCCATCCGTGGCCGCCTGAGTCGACACCTCTATAGAACTCTGTTCCTCCCCGCGCTTCACGCCCTTTCCCCGACCAGCCGCCTTCCGAGGCGGAGAACTTGCCTTCGCTCTTTTGCTAGCTTGACCGAGAGCGGTCTTCTCGGCCACCCTCTTGGAGCCGCTCCTCCCGACCACATCAGCTGGAGCCGCCATAGGTTGCACCGGCGGCGGTTGAGCAACAGAGACGCCAATATCCCCGACCGCCACGGACGAGCTTCCACCTCGGCCGACTCCGGTCTTCACCACTACCCTTCGCTTCTTCGGACGAACCGCATCCGCCAGAGCTCTCAAACCTGGCAAAAGAAAGCATAAGTAAACATACATGAGAAGAGGGACATATTCAAGCAGAAAAACGCAGCACTAACCATAGAATTTGCGAACGTGCTGGTATGCACTCCCGGGACCGCTAGGAAAGACTCGCAGCTGAAACCCTTCTACAAGGCGGTCTACGTGATCTCTCACTGACTGTGGAAACTGGGTCGAAACACACCAGTCGTCCTTCGATCCCACCACGTACCCCGTCAAAGGCGCAGTATCGCCATGGTACCACTTCCATGAGGGACGTGCGAAGAAAAACTCCTTGTACCATGGAGAATCAAGCTTCGGCGACCCCGTCACAAACCCCACGGCGTTCTCACGCCGACCGATAGACCAACAGTTGGTCGAATCCCTAATGTTATAAATCAGTCGGAATGCATCAAAGGAAGGGGTCTCCCCAAGGCGTTTACACGCATACCGATACATGACCGACTGAAAAATAACAGAAGGGGACAAGCGCCCAAGAGTACACTGAAGGAGGTGCAAAGTCTTAGTAAGAATAGGGTCTAAGGGGAACCGCAATCCCAACTTAACGTGCTCCACGTGAATAGGGATCCAACCCTCGGGGCATGACCCAGACCTACTTGTCTCCGTAGGAGCCGCATACTGCCAATCAGTAGGTAAACTCAATGCGTTCAAAAGGTGAAGCACCTGACCCGGCCTCAAGGTCGCCTCGTGCGGAGGTCCATGAGAAAACACGCCGGCGGGAACCGCGGCCCCGTCCCACATTCCCTCGTGATGAAGAACGGTATACGTAGAATCCGCAATGGCCACCAAAGGCGATCCCTCGTCATCAGAGTCAACTGCTTCCACAGACGACGAGGTACTCGCCAGCGCCTCCGAACGCTCTTCACCACTACCAACCGCATCATCCACATTCAGCGTATCACTATCTAAGTCTAAACCCCCAAACTCACCCAGATTGTCCCCAACCGCGGACGAAGTGGCCACAACCCCAACTGGTACAGGTCGGATGTTAGCAAAAGAAAAATCTAAACTTAAAGCGTCCTCGATCAGACAATCGTCCAATTCAGAACCACCCCCAAAGTACAATTCAAGTCCAGACAAATCCCACACGCAATCAGAGGCGTGTTGGGCAGGGGCAGAACGAGCCATACCTTGCGCAGCGGTCGCGGACCCGCCAGAGGTGCCCACTGACTTCTTCCCGGTGGCAGGGGAAAGCGGCGGAGCAATGAAAATCGACGGCGGCTTCCCCATGCAGACCTCGGGGGCAGTGGGCGCATCGGACACAACCTCCGTGGCGGCAGCTAGAGGCGCGCCTACCCCGGCCGACGAAGCTAGGCCTCCGCTCGACATCTAGCGCCGACGAGGAAGAGGGAAAGGCCGACGTCCCGAGCCGGAATAAACCCAAAAGAAAAGCACACAAGTCAAAGGCAAACAAAGACGCGAGAAACAAAGGAGAAAGAAGCTCCGAAACTCACCTCGAAAGTACAAACACTCGGCCTTTTAAAGAGGGGCGACGACGGCGAAGCTCAGAGCTCCGCAGAAAGTTGCAGACGACCCAAGGAGGAAGACGACGGAGAGTTTTCCCCAAATGAAGAAAC